ACATACAAAGTTATCGCTTTATTCTCTCCCCATGGAGCGCCATGTACCATTGGCAACATGGCCTATATTAGCTAGAGATATGGCAATATCGAGACTTAATCGTGCAATACGTTCCGTAAATGTGCAGTGTTCCTCGGACAACGAAGTCATTCAATAAGACCAATGGCATTTGCAAGTAAATTGGCTTTAACTGTGCGTTTCATATCATAATCGTGTTAATTTTCCGTTAATCTGTTTACTCTCGACTTGTAATTGGTACATGCTCTATGAAAAGACTCATTTCCTCTGTGTAATTTAAGTCCTTCATGTACTGTTTTCATCTTCCATTCTCCTTATATCTTCCTATATTTTATTTTATTTTATTTTATTTTATTTAGTTTAACCGTCGAACATCTTTTGTTTTCCGTCAGTGCCGTATTTTATTGCCCCGAAATACAACTGTACACATGTAATTTGTTCGTATTTTATTTGTTTGTTCTTATGGGAGGGAGAGACACTGAACTGCCATCATCCGGTCTTATTTCTTTATTAATTCATTCATATTTACTAGTTGATCACAAGATTTACCAGGGAGGAAATTCTGTTTCCGCTTGTGAAGTAATCTAATACCACATTGCGCTTATTGCATCACCCTATATAGGTTTGCCAACCTTTGCTAATTATCTTCCCCCCTCCCTGAATACACGTCTCTTGCCCCTTACTCGGCACATGTCAGTAAAATCTACAAAAAAAATTACACTTACCTGTTCTAGTTTTTCAACTACCACCGTAATTAATAGTTTCAAATATAATTTCCCTCTTTATCGACCCTTCCCCCCCCCCCCAAGCAGCCCTTAGTGCTTCTGTATGGGGCGCGCCCCACAGGTTAGAAACCATTGCCCAATATTATATAATATATAAATAATATACACGCGCGCGCGCACACACATTATATGTGTATATAATATATATATTATATATATATATATATATATATACATATATATACATATATATACATATATATATATATATTATACACACATATATATACTTTCTCTCTCTCTCTCTCTCTCTCTCTCTCTCTCTCTCTCTCTCTCTCTCTCTCTCTCTCTCTCTCTCTCTCTCTCTCTCTCTCTCTCTCTCTCTCTCTCTCATGATTTGGTTTATATTCAAGCAATTATATTCTACATTTTAAAATATCAATGCAATATTAACATTCGTTCGAAAAGTATGGTTATCTTCAAATAAAAATATACTCAAAATCAAATTAGTCCTTATTTTATGGATTATGTGTATCGTCCAAACCATTTAGAGGTCCTTTTGCTCACGCATTTGTGCCATGTTTCTCACGATTAAAGGTAATTTGCCATTTCTCTTCCCACTAGGACTTCTTCAGGAACCAGTACAGACATCTGTATGAATAAAAAAAAACTATCTTTTATTTATCATCTCTCTTCGTTTACATAATAAAGACAACTGTTGAAAGTGAACGTATCAGTAGTACACAGGACTGCCTCTCTCCCGCATTGCGTCTTCTTTAGCCTCTATAGCAGCTCGTTACTCCAGTCTAGACATTGCTCTGGCGCCCGAGGATAGCCCGCGAAGGCAAGAGAGAAAGAAGGCTTTGGGATTATTTTAAGCGATGATCAGAATATTCAGCGAAAGTACCAGAGTCCGTTTTTTTCCAATGCTAGATCTTCCCGCGTGTTGTAGTTCCGAACCTGATGAAAAGTAAGTGCGCAGTCACACGATACATAGTCTGCCTGAGTTTAACGAGTTGTGGATTCGCTTCATGTTATGAGAGACAAAGGATGTATCGAATAGATTTAATAGGTTCTTATGCTGTAAAGAAAGAAAACCTGGATACAGGAATACAAATCCTTCCCGCATTTTAATTCTCCCAGCCAGGTAGAAATCACCTGCAAGACTTTAATGTGTATATTTATAATCATATATATCTGTTCTGTAAAATATATGCTTTTAGTCAAAAAGAATAGGCGATAACTAGATGGAATCGCGCGTTCAGTCTGAGAGGCAATATTTCTCTCAATCCTAGGGGCTGGGCGAGGCTGGGTCGATTTGTTTGGTTGTCTGTCAACTCGGACTGCGGTTGTTACTTCTTTTGTTGTTTAAGGGTTTTATGAACTCCACATTAGAAGAGGCCCGTTAGACTTTGGATGTTCACTGAAGTTGAACAGTTAGATATAGATAGAAAATAGATGGATTTTGTTTGATTTCTCCCATTTCACGTGCACACAGCTCCCATTATGGCTTCAATTAATCGAGCTGCATCCGCTGTTCCACTACGGAGATAATCATGAATGTCGTCACGCAAATACACACACGCGCGCGCGCGCACAAATGAGATGAGTGTATGTGGCAGAGAGAAAGTGAGTTATATTTGTGTGTAATCGTTTGTGTATGCATAGGTAGATTTGAATAAGTGTAAATGTAAATGTGTTATTACATGTATACGCACACATACATTGACGGTGCACAAGTATCCACAATCCAAAAGTTCCATTCATATCTAATCGCGCAGCACTGCCCTTCTTCCCAGGGCAGGTCCATAGGAGGGAGTATCTTTGAGATATAATGCGGCTAACAATGCAGCGCCATCATCTAATAAAGACCCATTGGATAACGACTCTGGCCAGCGCACCTCGCTCGGCGACGGGCTTGCGCGCACATTAGCATATGTGCGGGGTAGGGACATGCTCTGCCAGTCTCTCTCACGGTTTTCTCGGTTTCTTCTCTGTCTTTTTCACTTCCTATTTCTCCTCCTCCGCCCACTTTCTTTTCTCTCTGTCTGTCTTTCTCCCCGTCTCCCTCTCTTTCTTTTCTCTCTTCCTCTTCATCTTCTCTCCTCTTTCTTCCTCCCCCTTCTGACCCTCTGTCTCCATTTTTTTTTCTTTATTTACATCTTTGTCCTTGTCTCCCTTTCTCACGCTCCTCTTCCCCGTTATGTTAAATTCTCAGATGTTTGCTTTCCAAAGCGACACCTGTTTTACAGTCTCCGTTGCGTGACAGGAAGATAAATATTCATTAGGGCAAAGTGCATCTTTGTAGACTCGATGTACTTAATGTATTTTCGATGATTTCTTCACAAGCTAAACGATATTTAATTGCTTCATACACGTCAATGCGTCGGAATGCAATAGGCGTTTGCATTAAAAAATAAATAATATTCAGGCCTCGAACATCGCAATTCTTTGCAGTTAGAAGACCGATGGTGCTTAATCGCATGATCATGCATTGCGAAATTATTTAAGGGATCGAATTATTCAGATATTAAGGACACTGGAGTTGGCATGACCTTTGAGAAACGAGAAGGTTAGAAGGTTATTTATAGAACCCATCAAAATTATAGTGCGTTCTTCATAAAGTGGATACACTGAGGCCAGTCGAATATAAATTATTTTAGGCGGTCGCTTGCGCTATGTCTAACTGGATAGGTTAACAGCCAGTCGGTCGTCAATCCCGTATCTACCTATGTATATATCACTTTCACTTCCTGTCCCTCATCCTCCCACTCTCGCCCTCCCCTCACACGTCCTCTTGTCTCCCACTCTCCTCTCCTCTCACTTCCTCTTGTCTCCCACTCTCCTCCCTCTCACTTCCTCTTGTCTCCCACTCTCTCCCTCTCACTTCCTCTTGTCTCCCACTCTCTCCCTCTCACTTCCTCTTGTCTCCCACTCTCTCCCTCTCACTTCCTCTTGTCTCCCACTCTCTCTCTCTCACTTCCTCTTGTCTCCCACTCTCTCCCTCTCACTTCCTCTTGTCTCCCACTCTCTCCCTCTCACTTCCTCTTGTCTCCCACTCTCTCCCTCTCACTTCCTCTTGTCTCCCACTCTCTCCCTCTCACTTCCTCTTGTCTCCCACTCTCTCCCTCTCACTTCCTCTTGTCTCCCACTCTCTCCCTCTCACTTCCTCTTGTCTCCCACTCTCTCCCTCTCACTTCCTCTTGTCTCCCACTCTCTCCCTCTCACTTCCTCTTGTCTCCCACTCTCTCCCTCTCACTTCCTCTTGTCTCCCACTCTCTCCCTCTCACTTCCTCTTGTCTCCCACTCTCTCCTCTCACTTCCTCTTGTCCCCACTCTCTCCCTCTCACTTCCTCTTGTCTCCACTCTCTCCCTCTCACTCTCACTTACTCTCACTCTAATTCCCACTCTCTCCCTCACCCTCTCATTCCCTGTGTCTCTCGCCCTCTCACTCCCTCTCTCCCTTACCCTCTCATTCCCTCTGTCTCCCCATCACCCTCTCACTCCCACTCCCACTCCCACTCACTTCACCCTCTGTCTGAAGCTCCCTTTCCCTCTAACTCTGTCACCTTCGCCCCGTTCTCTCTTGCCTTCAGGAACCCGTTGCATATGGCGGCAATGTACGATAATGAGGGAGAATCCACCCATTACCCCGAAATCCGCAAGGAAAAAGCAGGGAATGGCATCGAGGGAGGGTCAGCAGGTACACCCGCTCTGGTAAAGGGAATATCCTCTCTCTCGCTCACTTCTCTGCGTCTCAGCACCTCGCTTCGGTGTAATAGTTTTTGTTTGACTCATATATATTTTGATCATTTCATACACCTCTGTAATGAGATGAAGGCTTGTTTGGTGTCGATGCAAATAAGTTTATATTTTGGTTGTGTAAACAGTACGTTTTTTTTTTTCCCTGTTTTTATAGAAGGGCGATAGTTGTGCAGTTCAGTAAATGTTAAGAAGTGAAGACCGGTTTCTATGCGAATAAAGTTTATATTTTGGAAATGTATGTCGTTTTTTGTGGGAAGTTCACTGCAGTGCAATTTAGCAGGTGTGGCAACCAACATGGAGTAATCTTTTAAAGATATGCTTTTTGATGAATGTACTGGGAATTTTGAGATTTTTTTGCCATTATCTTTTTTTATCTTGATTTCTCCTTATTATTTGTTTATTTATGCTATTTTACTGATGACATCATAATTATTATCATGCTTAGCATTATCACTATTTAAAAATAAATGTCCTCTCTCTCACTCACTGCAGGATACGACACGACCGCATTCATCCGCGACCCCGCTAAACTACCGGAACCCTTGGCTTCTCAGGTGACCGTGAAAGTCGGTGACATCTTGAATGAAATATGAGGTTGACGATGCTGTGCAGGGGCAGGACGCCGTTGTCATTGTCATCGGCACGCGGAATGACCTAAGTGAGGTTTGATTTTATTATCCCTGCCCCATCCCTAGCTCTCTTCTTTCCATCTCTTTCCTTCCTTTTCCCTCCCCTCTATTTCCCTCCTTTATTTTTTCTTTCCTTCCCCTCCATCCTTCCTTTCCTTCCTATGCCTTCCTTTGGTTTCCTTCCATACCTCCTCTCCTTTCCTCTCTCATCTCATCTTCCATCAAAATAGATGCTGGGAAACTGCTCTTGCCCGATACATACTGGGCAAATCCCATACATTCCTATCGCATGTCACGATCAAATTCAACTCTATGTCCTTATGCCCTGTTATTCTTTTCAGTTCCACACATTCTATCCTGTTTCCGTTTTACGGCAACCTGTACCTACCTCTGCCTTTACTTGTTCTTTCTTTACCGACCCCAATTAGTTAGACGTTCTCTCGGAATCCCTTATCCTTTCCTTTAACAACTTTTTCTCCTTCCTCAGACGTATAAATATCCTCCATTTGATCTAATCGCCCTTCTCCTTCAACTCCTTCTCCCTTTAATAACCCTTACCATATACTATACCCATCTGCTCCTCTCTACCCCATAGGTTGTTCAACCTTTGACTTCTTACACTACTACAATAATCTTTTTCCCCGCTACTATACTTTATCATAGGGCTATATGATCTTGATGACTGCTTATTTATTTGTTTACACCATTAATCATTAACTCGTTCACTCCTCCTCCCCCCTCTTTTCTCTTCCCTCCCTCCCTTTCTCTCTATTTACATCCCTCTTACCATTTTTAGTATCTTCTATAAGGATACTATGCTTCTACATGACACATGGAAATGCACGGATTTATTTACTTTTGATATGCATATTTCATGCAGAAGTTTATTTTAGTGGGGAGAGGATTTTGAAGACATAACTTAAAAACTCCCACATCTGTTCTATTTATCATCTCTTAATAAAGGTCCTACAACGATGATGTCAGAGGGAACGAAGAATGTGCTCAGTGCGATGGAGAAGTACACGTTAATCGTGTCTCAGCGTGTCTCTCATGTAAATGTTCATGTTTTTCTCCGTTTTGTGTATTTTAAAAATTAAGTATCAAAAAATAATGTATGTCTTGAAGAAAGATGTGCCTATAATCTTACCTCATGTTAAAGATCCCAATTGTGTGCAAAATGGTCGACTGGTCTAAAGAAAGAAACAGCGTTTATCCTGTTAAAATTTACAATCGTTTTTTTCCCAGCCTTCAACTTTTGGGAACGCGAAAAGGTTCCCGAGCGATTCCTCAACATACTGGATGACCATACTCGCATGCTTGAAGCTCTAAAGGCGAGCAGCCGGGATGGGTAGCAGTTCTTCCACCACATATTACAGGTTGGTCTTCATTATAGATGGTGGATTATTTTTTACGTCCTCTCGGTCTTTTTACTTTGGCTTTGAAGAATATTCATGGTAGGTGAATCATGTGAACGACTTGGAAGACATATGAGAAATTTCCTAGTGTGTATGTCGTCCTTAAGGCAACTATTAGTCCCTGTCCACACTATGGGAGTGCCCCAGTTTGGCAGGGTCGTCCTTCTATACCATCAGTAAATGTCATATAACCAGGCTGTCTTTCTTTAGTGATTTCACTCGACCATGGGCATGCCACTCTGTTGGTTTGCCCGTAAATTGTCCTTTACAGCTGGCAAGAGCCTGTCAGGCAGTGCTTTATCAATGTAGATGAGGGTTTTCGTGTTTGGAGGTTACAGTGATTATATAGTTGTAATTTCTAGGACCCCTGTTATTAGCATGGTAAGCCCAACATTAAAAATAAACATTAGTAAAAAAATAAAGTAATATAATAATTACTATTATTTTAATTGAACAGATGAACCGGCAAAGGGAGACTACATCACAGCACAAGGGAAGGGGCCAGGTCGTACCATTTCCAAGCATGACCTAGGACACTTCATGGTCAACTGTTTGACTGATAACGACAACCTGTATAAAATGATTGGACTTTGTGACAAGCCACAGGTTTAGTTCCACTGCCAGTCAGTCAGGAATCCTTTGTTCAGAAATAAAACTCATGCATTTTAATGAAGAATGTAGAAGCTGTGTAGAAACATGGGAGTAGTATTAGCCCTGATGGAAAAAGAATCTCGGTAATCAATATTCACACAGGTGACAGGTCATAGCTAGATTCTGGGTATCACAGTATCATTATTATTATTTTTTTATTTCTGCAGTCCGAAAACTTCATTTACAATCAGGTAGAATGCATCCACGAGGGATATAATACAATTTGCTCTACTACACATGCTTTATATCTGTGGCACAAGACTTAAAAGTAAAATTTCTCTAGAGTAGTCAAGTTACGTAAGCATGGCAATCGTTTCAATCAAAGAATGGACTTGAATTCCTTTTTGCTGTAAGGGCTAGATTTGAAGTATTTAGAGGGGTTTATACATTATTTTTGCATGTAAAAAAAATTGTCACAACTATAACAAAGTGTTCAAAGACTTTACAGGTTTTTGTATTTTTATTTGAAGAAATGTGAATTTCTACAGTAGTGATATTTCATGAGTACCATGTATTAAATGTTTTGGTGCAATATTTTATTGTTAAATATAGTATATATTTTTATGTAGCTTTGACTCCATTTAATGATATTGAATTTAATAAATATGACAATTTCTTAATTACTGCCAGTGTTAGTATATTTACTTTAATAGGTAATTATTGCAGTAGTATAATAAACCTCTAAATTATTATAATTTTTTTTTTCATCCTTTGGCTTCTACAAAAATAATAAGAATTGTGTGTTGTATATGCAGCAGTTTATTTTCCTGGCCTATGAGGTACTTTACCATTCAAGATGTTCTTTTGTTGTGGGATATAACCATCAGTTTATATAGTTTAAACCAGGTACATATAATCTTGCAGTCTGTACCTGGTATAAACAATATTCTTTCCATTAAAAAAAGAGGTAGACTGGTTAAAAATATTCAGTTAGTATATATATATTTTTTTTATTTTTTACCTATGTGACACAACAGAACCCACTGGAAAAGAGGGTATAATCATCCAATTGTTCTACATGAAACGAGCAAGATGCACACTGCACTGAATAATTCTTGAAACAGTATTTTTTATACAGAATAGCCTTTACTTTCGGAGAAGGATACCTAATAACCAGAAACAAATCTATCACCACTGAGGAACAACTATAAGCTACAAGATAATTTTGGCTAAGCTGGCAGAACCAAAGTTCACCTCTAAAAATTCAAAAAATGCTTTTTTTCTTTACATGTACCATTGTTTTAGAAGCTATACCTAGTACTCTGTATTGTTTTTCAACTTAAGCAATAATCCTTCTCCATTTTGATTATTTGTTATTACACTTCTTTACTCAATAAACAAAGTAACAGATACTTTTCTCTCTCTTGACTTTAAATCAAAGTTTATATTACAAATTGAATGTATGACAACGTTTCACCTAAGATTTTACTAAAAAAAACTTCCATATCAAATTATTTCAACCTTATATCTTTTTCTTTTCCTTCCTTTCTTCCTTTTAAAAGATCTATTTTATACTGTACTCGAAATATTTTAAGTTTAAAACAACTAGCACGAAATATGCTACCCCGCACTGCTTTCTGGGCAATGAGGACCAAGTAGCAATTGCGATGACTAGTTCTCATTAATATTTAGGGAGGGAAAGGTAATGGGGAAAAAGGGGGAGAGAGGGGTAGGGAAAGGAGGGTGGGGAACTTTTAACGATTCTTAATCCTAATGTCAGACTTCCAATGGACGTGTTGGTGGATCATGATGCTAAGCCCTTGAGATGTGAGATAACCGATAGCTTAAAAGGACATGGTTTCTCCCTATCAAAGGAAGCAAGTACCAGGCCACCTTAATCTGCCGGCAGAGTTCATATTCATTCTTTTCACTCTACAGTATAAAGGGGATAGCATTAATGTCTGCCAGCACACATGTATAAATCTACTGGACTCGGAGTAAATGAATTTTCAAATATAATATATATTTATATATATGTTCTGCCTTACTTGACACATTTAAGGATATTAACTAATGCCTGTAACCATTTCGTGCAGAATATGAAAATAAAAATCATAAAAATTATAATGAAGATAATAAATATACAAAGGATGATATTAAACATCAACCACATACTATTCCAACATACATTTTTTTAGGAGTTTGATGACTATAAACCAAGCAATTAGACAAATATATCAAAATAATAATATATTAAGCAAATGCCCTTAAGCCATTAACAGTTGGTCAGGTTGAAATTAAAATTATGGAACCAACTCGTATAAAAGGAACACATTTATATTAGAAAGTACAGAATGCATTAATCATTACAAGTTGCAAATCATCCGAAAATATCATTCTTTTAATACAATTGTTGAAACATTGTATACTACTTTCACCCTGGAAATATTTCTCAAAATTTATTAGACAAAACTAACATCTATTCAAGCACCTTTGTAAAAAGAATCTTATTTTGTCTCTTTATCCATTTCCATTTTGGATTCTTCTCCATCCTCCTTCTTATCCTTCTTCCCATCTCCACCTGTAAAAAGTGAGCAAATTTTATATTATATAACCATTTAAAACTACTATTTAAATGCAAAGACATTCTTATCATGAGGCCATTACAAATATTTCTGGTCTTGCTCAATATCAATATCAAAAAGGAATGCACTATCTGGTGAATACTGAACTTTGAAACCAGTCAACACGCATGCAGAGAACCGAAGACTCAGCTTTTCTTCCCTCTCATTTGCATTCATTTTCACATTCTCGCCCTTTATCTCTCTTGTTCACTGAACCCCTATATCCCAAATGACATGACTGTCACATGAAAAATTTAGCTGGAGGGTGAATAACATAAATTGTTGTCATGGGAAAATTTAGCTGTGGGCCAGGGAGATGCAAACTTGCCATCATGAGCATTTTGGCTGAAGGCTGAGGTGACTGGAATGACTCGCCACTAATGCACAATCCACTTGGAGGATGACTAGAACTTGGCATTTAGGAGCAAGCTTTTACATTATTTCTCTAATAAAAGAAAAATAAAGAAAAAGTCCTTAGATAAATGAGAGAGAGAGAGAGAGAGAGAGAGGAGAGAGAGAAAAGAAAAAGAAAAAGAGAAAGAGAGAAAGAAAGAGAAAGAGAAAGAAAGAGAAAGAGAAAGAGAGAAAGAAAGAGAAGAGAAAGAAAGAGAAAGAGAAAGAGAGAGAAAGAAAGAGAAAGAGAGAGAAAAGAAAGAAGAAGAGAAAGAGAGAGAGAGAGAGGAGAGAGAGAGAGAGAGAGAGAGAGAGAGAAGAAAGAGAAGAGAGAGAGAGAGAGAGAGACAGAGAGAAAGCACTTGTGAAGGGAGGAGTCTTGTAACCATACACAAATGTTTGTGTGCCTGGCCTACAAGCTGTGCACCTGTCAGTGTGGCCAATCAAATACCCCTAATGCCTATATTTTGGGCCACATGATGGCAGTGAAGTTTCCTGATCCAGTAGGTTAATCACAGTCTTTCCACTTGCACTCTATTTCCACATTCCCTTCCTAATATCACTTTCATTCTCTCTCTTGACTCTTTCATACAGTTATGCTCAAACACAAGACACAACCTACCTTAGTCTCAAACAACAAAAGCTTTGGATTAATGCCTACCGTCCAACTCACCCTCGGAGTCATTACCCTCGCCGAGGAGTTGTCCCTTCGTCTCTTGCGGGTAAAGCGTCCACCTCTTTGGAACTTTGGTGGAGGAATAGGATCCATGCCAAGAACCTTGTGGATTTGTCGGAAGGCAATCACCTTAAGGCATGCTGTAAGGAAAAGAATTCATATAAGAACAAAACAAAAAATTGTAAGGTAATCTGATGTCAGGCCCCATCCAACCCAAGAGAAAGTCCAAAGACAAATGTTAGTCTATATGGTTATCATGTATACATAATATATACATTGTATTATTAAATAAGACATTAGAACAGATATTTACTAGGGATGAAATATATGCATAAATTGGTTACCCTCCATACAATTTCCATTGATCCTTCAATCCTGTCACAGATTTCAATCGCTTTTAGGAAAACCAATTTTTATGGAATACATAGACAATATTATGTTTTCTTCTATACAATGAAACTATAGCATGATCATATGATTAAAAGTATACAAAACATGTAAAGATTAACTGCTAAAAGAATAACAGGTAGCTATTAAATAAGATTTATTGCCTCATGATATGAGGTGCTAATTCATTTTCAAATTATGTGATCAGCTTCAAAGCATTGGTCACTGCTTGTTGTTGCCATACTCTTTGTGCTAACATTTTGTTATTAAAAGCAACATACACATATAATATATATACATTGTGTATGTGTGTATGTACAATTATATTATATATATATATACATATATCATATACAATACATATATAACATATACAAATACATAATAATACATATACAAATACATATATATATATGTACAAATACATATATATATATGTACATACATAAATATATATATATTATGTCTACAAATACTATATATGACAAATACAATATATGTACAAATACATATATATATACAAATACATATACATATAAAATACATATATATATACAAATACATATATATATATATATATATATATATGTAAAATATATATATGTACAAATATATATATATATATAGTACAAATACATATTATATACAAATACATATATATACATATACAAGTACATATTACATATACAAATACATATATATATACAAATACATATATATACAATACATATATATATATAAATACATATATATATATTAAATACATATATTATATATATACAATAATATATATATAATATATTATATATTAACAATATTTATTATACAAATAATATATATATACAAATACATTATTATATTATACAAATACATATATATATATACAATACATATATAATATATACAAATACATATTATATATACAAATACATATATATATATACAAATACATTATATATATACATACATATATATATATACAATACATATATATATATAAATAATATATATATATAAATACATATATATATAAATAAATATATATACAATTATATTATATATATACATATACAAATAATATACATATATTTTAATATATACAATATA